TTCTGAATTCCTCTACACCTCCCCTCCCATTCAAATCCACTCTCTTTCTGTCTTTTATTAGAAAATAAAGACTTCTAAGAGATAACAATAAAGCAAAACAAAATAAAATAGATAAGATAAAACAAAAACTATCACATCAAAATTGAGCAAGGCAACACAACAGAAAGAAAAGAGCCCAAAGGAATGCACAAGAATAAGAGACCCACTTATTCACGTACTCAGGAGCCTCATAAAAATACTAAACTGAAAGCTATAACACATGTGAAGATGACCTGGTGCAGACCCATGTAGGCCTTGGGATTGCTGTGTCAGTATCTGTGAGTTCCCATGAGTCTTGGTCAATTGATTTAGAGAGTCTTGTTCTCGTTATGGCCTCCATTGCCTCTGGCTCTTTCTCTCTCTCTCTCTCTCTCTCTCTCTCTCTCTCTCTCTCTCTCTCTCTCTGTGTCCTCTTTCTTAGAGTCCCCTGAGCTCTGAGGAGAGAGATTTAATAGAAACCTTTTTATTTTTCTTTTTTCTTTTCTATCTTTTGTTTATTTTTTGTTTCTTTCTTTTTTTTTTTTTTTTTTTTTTTTTGAGACAGGGTTTCTCTGAGCATCACTGGTTGTCCTGGAACTCACACTGTAGACCAGGCTGGCCTAGAACTCATAGAGATCCACCTGCCTCTGCCTCCCTGAGTGCTAGGTTTAAAGGTATGTATCACCATTACCTGGCTGAGACCCCTTTCTTTAGCCTACATTCATTACATTCTTTAGACAACAATTTTTATTTCCTGGCAGTATGCGGAAGGTTAAGCTACCATTGGAGCTATTGATCAGGAACCGTTTAACACCTACAGTCTTCTACATTCAAAAAATATATATTTTGAAGCAAACTTACTTAATAACCACCCAGAAGTGGAAAATGAAAAGGACTTGTCTAGATTTTCTTTTCAGAGAGCAATCTTTATTTTCTGAAAGGCACAGATTCACCACAAAAAAAAAAAAAAAAAAAAAAAAACATGGGATAAATAAAATGGATTCATGGTGTCTCTCTTGTTCTTTTCTAATAATCCTCTAATTAACCACAACATCTCTCGCTTTGCTTTGCTAACTCTTACCACATACACATCCAAGTACCATTCCACCTTTATTATCAAGGCTAAATAGGTTGAAGGGATGGCTCAGTCAGTAGAAAACTTGCCTGGCAAGTATAAGTATCTGCGTTGCATCTCCAGACACCACATAAAAATGCCAAGAATGGTGTCACACTTGTAATTTCAGGACTGGCAAGGCAAAGGCATGTGGATTCCTTGACTTAGATTTCCTACCAGTCTAGACTAAATTGGCGAGCTTTAATTCAATCACAGACCAAGTCTTAAAGTATATAAATAGTGTATCTAAAGATGGCACCTGAGGTTTTCTCTGGCCTCCATGGGCACACTACACACACACACACACACACACACACACACACAATTTCAAAAAGTAAAAATAAAACACAGCAGTGTGATTCTTAAGAAGAAACTTGTTGATGAGCATAGAAGCCTTGGAAGTAGCAAAAATTTGAGAGACAGCTAGCACAAAAAAAATTCTAGAAAGCAGTTTAACCACTCAGAAAAACACAAGTTCAAATCTCAGCTCTTCTGGATACTGCCTGTTTGATAAAAATGTCATAAATAAATTAAACTTCCTTTTTCTCACCTGTAAAATAGGGAAATAAATAACAATTAGACATTTAGGAGTAGTTATTACAAGCATTTAAAGATTTTAGAAATATGGTCTAATTTAGATATTGGCATTATTGTTGCATTCTTAATTAAATACTATTTTAAAGTAGGAACAAGGGAGGTTATAAATACTGAGCATTCACCTGCCAATCTTAGAGATAGCAAAAGGGAAGAAGGAAACACTAAAGGACTGGCATGAGGGAGGGGTGAATGGGATGATACAAGAAGCAAACTTCTACAAAAGCTCAGTGTTTGGGCATTTTGCCCAAATCCTGGGCTTACAGGGAACAGCCAACATAGCCAAGTGCGATTCTAGCAACATCCATCAGCTCTAAACCTGTGACCGCTAATGTTACCTGGCTCTCTCCCATCAATTTCACTGCTTCCTTTTAAATACCTTTCCTATTAGGGATGGGAACAGCTCTTCTCCCCAAATAATATCCCATGGCTCTCCAGTCCATTCTCATCACCTTAACCCACAACTTTTTTATTGATGCTATATATCTCTAATATAAAGTTACTATAAAATAATAAGTTCAGCAGGATATGCTGGAAAAGTGAGCTGAAATAAAGAGACTTAACAGATACCTAGAAATTAGAAGAAATATCTTAAGTGAAAGAGAGAGAGAGAAAGAGAGAGAGAGGGAGGGGGGGGAATGAGGGAGGGAGGGAGGGAGGGAGGGAGGGAGGGACGGAGGGAGGGAGGGAGGGAGGGAGGGAGGGAGGGAGGGAAAAAGAGAGAGAGAGAGAGAGAGAGAGAGAGAGAGAGAGAGAGAGAGAGGGGAGTACCTGTAAGGTTTAGGTTTATAATGCTTACTGTGTTAATTCTGGTTGGAGATGCTCTGGGGTTGTGTGGACAGTCTCAGTTCCAAATTCCCGAATGAGCATCATCTTGGCAATATCGGCAGAGATTCTCTATTCTATGAGCACTTGGACAAAGGTATCAAAAACTCTGAAATGCTATGAAAGACTTCAATATGTATTTTCAACTGGTGTTAAGATGCTGTCTTTGTCCTCACCTGTCATTTCTCTAGCTGTCTTCTGATTCATCTATCCTGCCAGAACATTTTTTTCTTTTTTTTTTATTGATTTTATTGAGCTATAACCTTCTCCCATGGTCCCCATGCTCCCAATTTACTCAGAAGATCTTGTCTTTTTCTACTTCCCATGTAGATTAGATCCATGTATATCTCTCTTAGGGTCCTCATTGTTATCTATGTTCTCTGGGATTGTGATTTGCATGCTGGTTTTCTTTGCTTTATGTCTAAAAATCACTTATGAGTGAGTGCGTATATTTGTCTTTCTGGGTCTGTTACCCACAACTTCTATTCCCAGCCTAATTCCTGAATAGGAAATGGTATAAGACAATGAGAAATGACCAAAGTGGTTTTTCATGGCCTTTTCCCCTATAATGTGTGTTAGAAGAGAAGAAAACTGTTGTAGGAGACTGCTAGTTTAGTTCCCAGCTGCTCAGTCCCGAAGTAACCACACAGAAACCATATTATTTGTAATACTGTTTGGCCAATAGCTTAAGCATATTTCTGGCTAACTCATATCTTAAAATAACCCATCTCCATTAATCTGTGTATCACTATGAGGCTGTGACTTACCAGGTAAAGTTCCAGCATCTGTCTCCGGCAGGGCTACATGGCTTCTCACTGACTCTGCCATCTTTTTCCCAGCATTCAGTTTAGTTTTCCCCACTTAGCTCTATTCTGCTAAGCCACTGGCCAAAACGGCTTCTTTATTCATTAACCAATAAAAGCAACACATATACAGAAGGACTTCCAACACCAAAAGAATACTGAAGAATATAAAAGGTTGCACAGAGCTGAACACATCAAACAAGTCAGAAGTATCTGAAAGGTGCTGTGGCCTACTTGGAAACTGGAGTTACGTGCTGTGTTATTGCTACAGGAATAAAGCCAGGAACAACAGTTGTTTTGAAATAAATTTTCACATGCAAAATCATATTTACACACCCAGAGGGAAAAAATAACATTCTAAGTGTATAGACAAAGAAGCCTTGTGGATCCCTCCTTTTTTTGTTAGTGACACAGTTTTTCTTTATTCTGGAGTCTCTCGGAATGACACTGGAAGAAATCTCCAGGTTAGCTTTAACTAGCATCCTCTGTTTCTCTGCCAAGCTCCTTTCTTTAAGTTTGCATGCCTTGGAAAAAAGTTGCATGTTACGTATGATTCCAGCAAAACTGAAAGGTCAGGAAGCTGTTTTATTCTTGGGCGCTTTTATTCACTCCCAGTGGCTTCCTTAGTATCCCTACCGAGAATTTTAGTGTTCTCTCTATTAAAACTCAATCTGCTGCTTTAGAGGTTAATGATTAACTTTAATATGTCTGCGCCTTTAATTGTCATCAAGATTCTGGAATTAAATCAAATGTAATGGAAAGAATAGAATTAAGACAACTGGGCCCTAGTCCCAGCGCTACAAATAAAGCGTCCGACCTTGGGAAAGCTTTTGACTTCTCAGGAACTCCATCTATAAAAAGAAGAAGGTTGGAAGATATGCTCTTCTAGTAGCTGTGGCTCTGTAACTCCTAGAAACAAGGAGCCCTCAAAATTTAAAGTTGACTGGTGGCTGGTAGTCATTTTCTTGTTACTTAATTTGGTGTTAACAGAGAAAAACTCGGCACACTGATTTCCTTTAGTGTACAGTTGGCTTTTGGGAAAGTATTAGGAGCCCTTCTCTAACAGTGAGCAGTGAGGCTCAAAAAAGCCAGCTGTGGGGAAAGGGGACAAGGCCAAGAGAATGATGATAAGATGAACGAACTATCACTCTGCCATCTCCTCTTCAGGGAAGAAAGCCACAGTATGAAGGGAAGATGGCAATATACAAAGTTTTGGAGTCCAGTCTTAATAAAGAAATCTACAAAATATACACCTAAGGGTAAGGGAACATTGCAAAAGAGGGGGCAGAAAGATTGTAAGAGCCAGAGGATCAGAGACTGCTGCGAGATTGTGTCTCCTGGTAACATCAGAAGCTATAACCCATAAAGTCCCACCAACATGACCTCCCAAATGTGAGCTGAACAAGGAGGACACCAAAAAACATAGCAAACTGGATCAGGAAAAAACCCACAAAGCTTCAGTCCTACGCAAAGAACTGTCAGCAACCGAGTAAAGCAGTGAGAGGGAAGGAATGGACCTTCCCAGGGCAGAGAACACCAAATACTTGTTCAGTGCCAAATGGTCAGTCCTGAAAACTTAACATACGACTGGCTCAGTAGGGACTCAATCGGTAATATTAAGAATGTGTCCGTAGGAACCCGCTGGGTCCTGCCTGCTTGCATCTGCACGTGGCCTGTCCGTCTTCTTACTCCGCGACCCAGCGCAGCAGCCATGGCTCCAGGCCAGCTCGCTCTGTTCAGTGTGTCTGACAAAACTGGCCTAGTGGAATTTGCCCGAAACCTCGCATCTCTGGGTTTGAGTCTAGTCGCTTCCGGAGGCACGGCACAAGCGCTCAGGGATGCTGGCCTGGCAGTCAGAGATGTGTCAGAGCTAACAGGTTTGCCTGAAATGTTAGGGGGGGGGGGGGGGCGTGTGAAAACCTTGCATCCTGCTGTCCATGCTGGAATCTTGGCACGAAATATTCCAGAAGATAGTGCTGACATGGCCAGACTTGATTTCAACCTTATAAGGGTCGTTGCTTGTAACCTGTACCCCTTCGTGAAGACGGTGGCTTCTCCGGATGTAACTGTTGAGGCAGCTGTTGAGCAAATTGATATTGGCGGAGTGACCCTACTGAGAGCTGCAGCCAAAAACCATGCTCGAGTGACAGTCGTATGTGAACCAGAGGACTACGTGTCAGTGGCTGCAGAGATGCAGGGCTCTAATAGTAAGGACACCTCCCTGGAGACCAGGCGCCACTTGGCCTTGAAGGCATTCACTCATACTGCACAATATGATGAAGCAATTTCAGATTACTTCAGAAAGCAGTACAGTAAAGGAATTTCCCAGATGCCCTTGCGGTATGGGATGAACCCCCATCAGACTCCTGCCCAGCTGTATACACTGAAACCCAAGCTTCCCATCACAGTCCTCAACGGAGCCCCTGGATTCATAAACTTGTGTGATGCTTTGAATGCCTGGCATCTGGTGAAGGAACTCAGGGAAGCAGTGGGCATCCCGGCTGCGGCTTCCTTCAAGCATGTCAGCCCAGCAGGCGCTGCTGTTGGGACTCCACTTAGTGAGGATGAAGCCAGAGTCTGCATGGTCCATGACATCTATCCAACTCTCTCGCCTATGGCCGCAGCATATGCAAGAGCAAGAGGAGCTGATAGAATGTCTTCATTTGGTGATTTTATTGCATTGTCTGATGTCTGTGATGTCCCTACTGCAAAAATTATCTCCAGAGAAGTTTCGGATGGTATCGTTGCCCCAGGATATGAAGAGGAAGCCTTGAAAGTACTTTCTAAAAAGAAAAATGGGAACTGCTGTGTTCTTCAGATGGACCAGTCCTACAAACCGGATGAAAATGAAGTGCGAACACTCTTTGGTCTTCGTTTAAGCCAGAAGAGAAATAATGGTGTCATTGACAAGTCATTATTTAGCAATATTGTCACCAAGAATAAAGATCTGCCGGAGTCTGCCCTCAGAGACCTCATTGTAGCCACTGTCGCTGTCAAGTACACTCAGTCCAACTCCGTGTGTTATGCCAAGGATGGACAGGTTATCAGCATCGGAGCAGGCCAGCAGTCTCGGATACACTGCACACGCCTTGCGGGTGATAAGGCAAACTCATGGTGGCTCCGACACCATCCACGAGTGCTTTCCATGAAGTTTAAAACTGAGGTGAAGAGAGCGGAAATCTCTAATGCCATTGATCAGTATGTGACAGGCACCATTGGTGAGGGAGAAGACCTGCTGAAGTGGAAGGCGCTGTTCGAGGAAGTCCCCGAGTTTCTCACTGAGGCAGAGAAAAAGGAATGGGTCGACAAACTGAGAGATGTTTCTGTCAGCTCCGATGCCTTCTTTCCTTTCAGGGATAATGTAGACCGAGCTAAAAGGAGTGGTGTGGCCTACATTATTGCGCCATCTGGATCTGCTGCAGACAAGGTTGTGATCGAGGCATGCGATGAACTGGGGATCGTCTTGGCTCACACGGATCTCCGGCTCTTCCACCACTGATCTTAGTTTCTGTCATTTACTAGTTTGCTGGTGTGCAGTAAATAAGTGTGGGGTTTTAAAAGTCCCTCTTGTAAACAGTGGGTCATTTGCATCTTAATAATTGGATCTATGGTTTTAGGTTTGTTGGGTCTTATCTGAAAGGTATAGACTTCTAGCCCAAGTCACCACATACAGAGGTTTGTGTGTACAGAACCTAAAAGCATCCCTCCTTGGAGCTCAGCTTTTGATATGGTCTTTTATAAGCCGAGAAGCCAAGCTGCCTTATGATGACACATCCCCGCTGGGAATTGCTCTCCGCGGGGCTCTTCATCATGCCCCTGAGAAGCTTGACTGTTTGCCGCCTTGACAAACAGCCAGTTATCCCCAGGGAACTGATCCTTAGAGGATCTGGACAATGCTGATGCTGCTCTTAGGTGAAGTGTTGCCCTTATTTTGGCACCCGTGATCTTCTCTCCAGGTCTGTTTAAAACCTGTATTAACGATTTAGTAACTTGTGTTACCTACAAATGGACCCAATGTTCTTAGAGTTTTTACTCACAGTGATTATGTTTGGGGTGAGAGGCAGGTGACAATGCCTCCCTGTGCCTAGCAGGTCATAACTGGATCTGTGGTCTTGACTGTTCACCTGGAAGATGCCTATGGTCAGCTGTATCCTTCAGTCAGGGAGCCTCAGTCCTGCCTTCTTTCCACTCCTTTCCTAAATAAAAAATGCAGAAGCATTAAAAAAAAAAAAAGAATGTGTCTGTATCTATAAATGCATTGATGCCCGCAACACTCATGATGAAAAACAGAGGCCGTGAAGTTTAAGGAGAACAGGGAGGGATATCTGGAAAAATTTAAAGGGATGAAAGGGAAGAGGAAAATGGTATGATTAAAATACAATCTGAAAAACAAACAAACAAAAAATCACTAAGCAAAAATTCGCAAAGGGAAAGAAGGCAAGATGGAAATCATAACGAAGCCACCCAGAGCTGAACCGCTCAGGGCGGCCCTTTGGGGTGGGTATCAAGAATCATTGTGATGCATTCACCTAATTCCATCAGCCTCATCTTGTCTTCCTGTAAAAACACCTCATGGGGTAGCAAAAGAATAATGGCCCTCCAGGAAAGGCCTCTCCTATGAAAAGAGAGGAAGAAACTGGAGAGGAAATAACATTTCTGTTTGAGGAAAAGAAATTATCAGGATGGGAGAGTCATTTAAAACTGACCGTGGCTGCTGCGCCTGTTAAGGGCCAGCAGTTTGCAAACCATGCAATCTACAAGGGACGCACCTCGGGCTTGAGAGGGAGCTGCAAGCTGAAGGGAAGCCGAAGTAGACAATGTGCTTGGGGTTGTTGCTTTTATGTGTGTTTCTAAGTTTCCCTAATGGAGTCTATTTTTAAAATGTACAAAAAATGCACTGAACTTTCTGGTTCAACAGTTTGACAGCCTTTGGCAAGAGAAGTCTCTCTCCCTTTTGTTGCCAGATCTCTTTGTGGGGGCCAAGGTGGGGAAGTTGCCTCATCCAAAGGCTTTAGCAAGTGCGATGCTCTGAGGGTCAATCCGATGTGTTCCCTTTCCTACAGAATGAGATAAGGCTCGAGAATATAGATCGGTTGCTATAAGCAGGGTCAGCATGAATAATTCTCCTCAAAGCTCATGTGTAAATGCAGAGTTAAGGAATTACCCTTAAGAAAAGGATAGGATTGACTTCGGTGTCCTGAGCATGGATTTCAAATAGCTAACTCCCCCAGTTCCTCCTTGCCTTTACCAGAGACGGGGGAGAAGAATGAATTATTTTGGAAATTATAGTATGTGGGAAAATTCCATTTTAAATGCTATGCGACTTCAGAGTCCTGTGCTTATATAATGAGCTGAGTTTATAAACCACCTCTCTCAGGTGTATTGCCCTAGTTCACATGGGCTAGAACTGATTCATAACTCGTGTTTTTCCTTATTAACAAATCAACAAACAAATTCTTAAACCAAGACGGCATATGTATATCAATGAATATATACTACTCCTTGAAGATTAGAGAACATTTACTGCAATATACTTGAGCAAATGCACAAGTGTTCAGGATCTGCTCCACCCCTCCCTGAAATGAAAGAAGAGTGGACATCTCCCTCCTGAATGAAGAGCTTGGCCGTGTGGCTTCTTTGCTACTGAGAATGTGAGAAGACACCATCTAGCATACCTTATAGGCCAGTCTTTACATATGCTTGTCTTGTTTTTTGTGGCTGCCCATACTTCTGACCTGCTTCTGGAGGAATCCTGGCCTGAGGTAGCCACTGCGCCTTCACGTAGGCCACAGATGAAAATCATCAGACCAGGCTTGAACACCTATAGCCTGGAGCACAGCTGCTACAGCCAGCTGCACTGACCTGGGAAGAAAAGAGCAAATGGATGCTGCTGAAAGCCACGGAGGCGTGAGGGAAGAATGACCATTGAAAAAATTATTTCAGCAAAACTTGACTGGCACAAAGAATTCTTCTACAAAAAAATATATACAGGAACAATATAAGCAACTTCCAATTGACATTCATGTTGGACATTCATGTTTCTAGACTTCTCCTTTAATGTTTTATTGCCATATATTTGTTATGCTTCATAAGGGATTTCCTTATGATGCTTTCCATGGACATATACATCCATCTTATTTCTACCTCCTGTTACTTCCTCTAGTCACCCCCCCCTACCTACCTACTTCACCCTACCACTAAGAGTTTGTCACTCATTAGTCATTTCAACCCTTAAAATTAGCCTAGATCTTCCAAAGGAATTGTGTTACTCAGTCCTCCCAACTCCACATATTACAGAGAACTGGTCAGTTTTCAAGGCATGGATAAAGCAAAAAGAACGGTCCTTTTATAAGATGGCGGCCTCTTTACAGAAGAGGAGCATGATGTTTGTCTCACAATAATGTTCCTCTGTGTCACATACTCACAAGGGAAGAGGTATTCTGATGAAACAGATATTCTGATGAAAGTCAGGAAAAGTTTCATGCAGTCCCTGACATGAAGTCAATTTATAATCTCATATCTACTCTGTGCACTCATATTCTGTGTGTGTGTGTGTGTGTGTGTGTGTGTGTGTGTGTGTGTGTGTCTGTGTCTGTGTCTGTCTCTCTGTGTGTCCGTTTCTGTCTCTCTCTCTCCCCTCCCTGCAAAACTAGTATCTTCCTGTGGCTGTGAGCGAAAGGATGCAATGTGTTACCAATTAACAAGGAAAAGCTCTCTCCTGTTTCCCCTTAAAGTTCAAATTCCATTAAGCGATGAATACTTGGCCATCAATAATTAAGACCTGTCCCTGGGAAACATTCCCACCAAAGAAGCTAACAGCGCTGCTTTCTGAATAATAAAGCAGAAAAAGATTTTTCCAAACCACAACGATTTTCTTTTCATATTTTTACAATCCTCTAAGGAAGAACAAGTAGCCACTTTACCAAGACCCCACAGCAATTCCAACCCCCTAAGTAGCATGATTACCACAAAATACTCTGTAATTTTGCCCAGTGTCAGTCAAGTGCAAATAATATATTGTTTTTGAAATATATGGGCATAATGAATGGCCTTTGGAATTACAGCCACTTGAATTTGATTCTGAGAAAAAAGAATATGTGTACTTAATTTTCTTATCAGAAGGTGCAGCTCTGATCCAACCATATCACCACTACCCTCTATACTCCACAAACATGGAAGAGGGTAACAGGGAGAGGAAATACATTATTGATGTCTGTTACACACAAAGAATTCCAGAATCAAGGATGGTGGATGCCTCTTCTGCCTTAATCTGTTGACTTTTTAATTCACCTGATTCATAAAAGCGTGAAAGAGTTGCAAATTGAGAGTTGGAGAGATGGCTTAACGGTTAAGAGCACTGGCTGTGCTTCCGGGGGACCTGAGTTCAATTCCCAGCACCCACATGGTGGCTGACAACCATCTGTAACTCCCGTCCCCAGGAAATCTGATGTACCCCTCTGGTTTCCACAGGTACCAGGCACTTGTGTAGTGCACAGATATACCTGCATCAAAACACGCGCCACACAACTTAATTGTTAAAATAATTTTGCAAATTTTAAAATCGTAGTGTAGCCCGTCATCTCAAGCATCAAAATCTTGTATGAAAGAGGAGTGACTGGATCATGGTAAGGAGGATTGCACTGAGGATGTTCTTCTGACTCTGAGTCCTTTGAGAAGCCAACCAACATGCAAAGGGCAGTTAACTTTGGATGCAGTTGGAGAAAAGAGGCAAATAGAAGAGAAAGCAAAAACAATTTCAGGAACATGGGAGATTTCATCTTAGGATGTGGTGAAAAACAGCCATTAACCACCAAAGTCCAGAGTGAGTGTGAGTAAACTGGAAAAGACGCCTAAACCATGATCTATGACTCCTGATTACCAGACTTTCAGTCCTAGGGGTTTTTGTTCATTTAAAAAAAAACAAATTTCTTTTATGCAATATATTCTGATCACAGTTCCCAACCCCCAACTCCTCTCAGATGCTCCCCACCTTCTTCCAACCCATTTCATACCTTTCCTTTCTCTCTTTAAATAACAGACACCAAAAAAAGAGAGAGAAAACCCAAGAGACACACATATAGAAACAAAACCATAAAAACCCAAAATTGAAAGTCATCATATACAGACAAAAAAAACAGTAAGACAAAAAAAAAGTCCAAACAAATATGAGATGAAAAGTCTACAAAAAAAAAATACCATTGAGTTTGTTTTGTATTAGCCTTGTATTGCTGGGCATGGTGGCTAAGTGTGGTTAATATGCCCAGTGAGAGCTTAGAGAGATTCATATTTTTTAAGTGAGGGGCATTGTATCAGTAAAGTTTGCATCAATTTGACCACATTACCTGCAGAAATAAGGTAAATGAGGAAAGACTTACACTAACTTGGGATTTCAGAGAGTCTCAGGTCAGGATGTCAGGAATCCACAGTCTTATCAGGACCCATATTTTGGATTTATATGGGGTTCTCTCTGGAATGTGATAGAGCCTGACTCTGCTGGTTTAAACAGTCTCCATAACG